CGTTTCATCGAGGTCCGTGTTCAATTAATGGGCTTCCAACGTCTCTACGAATTATTCACACGGCTTAAGTTTTTCTCAAGCTTTCAACATTCCGAAAATGGACCAGATTATAATTTATATATATGGTAGTAATTTCGTTAAATTTCAACACAAATTAATTTTATTTTATTTTTTATTAATACATATGATAAAAAATAATTTTTTTTAAAAAAAGAATATTTGCCTGAAAAAACGAAAAAAAATCCTTTCTTGCTTCAAAAACTAACTTAACAATTTGCTTCTTATTGACTACTATTTTTTTTTTTTTTTTTGAGTAAAAAATACTTTTTCCAAATCATACTAAAACTGGAAAATACGGGAAAATTTGTTGAAAAGTCATTTTTCATTTGAAGGAATGTTTTCCTGGAAAACGAAAAAAAATCCATTCTCCTTATTTTGAAAACTAACTAAATAATTACTAAATAAATTACTAAATAATTAATTTATTGAATACCATTTCTTTTAAGTAAAAAATACTTTTTTTAAACCATACAAAGTAGAAAATAACTGAAAAATACGTAAAAATTAAAATAACTCATTTTTTAATGAAAGGTTGTTTTCCTGGAAAAAGAAAAATTATTAATTATACGACTTTTTCCAAATTTTTTCAAAAATACGACTTTTATCGACTTATGTATTTTAATAAAATGCGACATTTTTTATTTTACATTTGAAAAAAAATGTAAATAAAATAACTTTTTTTAGTATAAAATGTAGATCTTCTTCAGATCTTCAATTCAATTAATTAACAAATTTTGAACTAAAATGATTCTTCACTAAATTAATTATTTTTTAATAATTTTAATGAAATACATCACAAATTCAATTATATCAAAATTATTTTTCAATTAAAATTTTTATGAAATTTAACAATTGTTTATAATTTAAAAAAATATATCACAATAAAATTGAATTATTTTTAAAAAATTTTAATTCAAAATAAACTAAAATTTAATTATTACCCGAAATTTTAATTCAAAATCAATTAAAAATCCAATAATTATCCAAAATTTTCAATTTAAAATTTAATTATTTACCAAGTTTTCAATTTAAAATGAAATAAAATTCAATTATTTTCTAAAATTTCTATTCAAAATTAATTATCCAAATTTTCAATCAAAAATGAACTTCAATTAAATTATCCAAAATTTCAATTAAAATTCAATTATTTCCCAAAATTTTCAATTCAAAATGAACTGAAATTCAATTATTTTTCAAATTTAAAATCAAATAAAATTTCATTATTTTCAAAAATTTGAATTCAAAATTAATTGAATTTTCAATAATTTGAATTTAAAAGCATTTAAAATTTAATTATTTCTTAAATTTTCCATCGAAAATTTTTTTTTTGAAATTTAATAATTTCAATTATAACTCTAAGGAAATTCAATTATTTTCAAAATTTTCAATTCAAAATCAAGTATTTTCCAAAATTTTAATTCAAAGTCAACTAAAATTCAATTATTTTCCAAAATTTCAATTCAAAATCAACTAAAATTCAATAATTTTCCAAAATTACAATTGAAATTCAATTATTTTCAAAATTTGCAATTTAAAATGAACTAAAATTCAATTATTTTCAAAATTTTCAATCCAAAATCAAGTAAAATTCAATTACTTTCAAAAGTTTCAATTTAATATTAATTGAAATTCAATTATTTTCTAAAATTTCAATTCAAAATCAATTAAAATTCAATTATTTTGAAAAATTTTAATTGAAATTCAATTATTTTCTAAAATTTATATTCATAATTAATTATCTTAATCAAATAAAATTTCATTATTCTCAAAAATTTGAATTCAAAATTAATTGAATTTTCAATAATTTAAATTTAAAAGCATCTAAAATTTAATTATTTCTAAAATCTTCCATCGAAAATTTTTTTTTTTAAATTTAATAATTTCAATTACAACTTTAAGGAAATTCAATTATTTTTAACTATTTTAATAATATTCTTTGAAATTTCAACTATCTGAAACCATTTTTCAATTAAAAATGATTTTCAAATTATTTGTATTTTGTCCGCATTTTCTAATAAATTTTTAGTGAAATCATCTAAAATTTTAATTACAAAACACTTAAAGTTTCAATTAATTTTAAAAATCTCAATTTTAAATCTTTGAAAATTCAATTAAATTTAAAAAATGTTTTCCAAAAATTGTTTTGATAAATTATTTTTAGTTCTGTAAAATTTAATAATTGTTTGAAAATTAACAATATCTTTTGAAATTTAATTATTTCTAAAAATATATAATAATAAATAATATTAATATAATAAATAATATTATTAAAAAAAAAAAATTTTTATTTAAAAATCTGTAAAATATTTTTGTTAAAATAAAAAACAAATCCACTTTTTTTTGGAATATAAATCAACTAAAACGACTTTTTGTGTCTTTAAGTTGATTCGAGGCCTGTGTTTTTATAATTAATATTTAATAGGTATTCGTTGGCCCCTGGTACCTTAAAAATTAATTTTTTTCAAATTACTATCTTGTATGAAATTTCCTGGTGCATCTTTTTTCTCAACATAAATTTTTTGTACAATTTTTGAATCAATATACAACTTTAAAAAAAATTTCGTTGGTAAACGTTGTGTACTTCAGCTTTGTGAATTGAATTTTCAAATTTGGAATTTTAAAGAAACTTATTCCGAAATTTGGAAACACAATTATACAACTTTGGCAAAAATGAAAAAAAGAATTGTCCAAATTTGACACGTCATAAGATTACTATTCAAAAAAACACGTGAAATCAGAAAAGGCCAACTTCAAGTTAGGACAGAAGGACAGACCAAGCATTTTATTATTATATAATATTGATTTTTATTAAAACAAAAAAAAAAAAAAATTTGAAATTGAAAAAAAAATTATTTTACAAAAACAAAATTTAATAATAAAAAGCTTGAGTCTATTTTTCAAAGTTTATATACTAGTAGGGGTGATTGTGGTAGATATGGATGAAAAAGGGGGGGGGTGTATAAAGCAGAGTATGATACTTGGGTGACTATACATAAGCACGAAGTCGAGGGTAGATTTTTCCGCGCCTTGATATGATTAATATTCGCGACCTAGATGCGGGGATAGGGTGAAGAGGCGGGGGGGGGGGGAGGGAGAGAGTTTCAGTAGTGGTTAAGAGAAGAAGAAGGGGTGGCAAAGGGATGGACCGAGGGGTTTTTGGAGGGGGGGGGGTCTTTGGACGGCGTATAGCAAATCCCCGTCAACCGCATTCAATTACGATGTTATCGCGAATACAGATGACGGTTATTTCCTTCGGTACACCCTATACATAACACCGTCGCTTCTGCGTGCAAAGTTAAGGCTATAATGGCGGCCGGCCGTCCGCGTGATTGTTTTAGGATGTATGAGACGATCTCGGATAAAGGCGCGCCAATTTTTCGCATATACTCCATTCCACCCCTTGAAAATACAATAACATCGACCTCCAAGGCTTTTACCATTTTTTTTTTTTTTTTTTTTGTATTTTTTTTTTTAAATTAAAATTGAAATTTAGTATCAGGAAAAAAAAAGGAATTTTAAAAAATATTGTCAATAATTTGGAGTTTTTGTCAAAATTTTTGAAAAAATTGTTGAAAATCAATAAATATTAAAAAAAAGAAAACAATAATTAAATTTTTTGAAAAAACTAAAAAAAAATTTTTTTTTTTTGTTATCTTAATCTTAATTACATTGTACATGTAACTAAATTAAAGAATCTTGAATTATTTTTTTAATATAAATAAAATAAAACCGATTCACAGAAAAAGTGTTAAAAGTAATAATGATATTTGTTTTTCAAATCATTGATATGAAATTATTTAAGAAATTACATATATGATTACATTCTAAAAATTGAAAAGATAAACAGTAATACTTAGTATAGATAATTTTTACAAGAAAACAAATTAAAGGTTATAAAATATAATTAAAGAAACATTATTAGAATTTCTAATTAAAAATACAATTTAATAAAATTTTGTCAAATTTTCTTTTAAAATAAATAATAAAATAAATTAAAGAATTTTCAAATTTTACCTTTACTTTCTTTCAATATTAAAAAAATTATATATTTTAATTTAATTAAAAAATTTTATATAATTAAATTCTGTTGTTAATAAATTAATAATGGTAAAATACTTTTTAATTTGTTAAATTTAAAAAAAATTAAGTTTCATATAAAATGTTATTTTTAAAACATTTTTTTTTTACAATGTATAGGTAATCTTTAAAATAATAACATAATCAGTAAGATTAAGATTAGAGAAGATATATTGATAAAATTTAAAATACTAATCTTATCATATATCTTATCACACTAAGTTAAATTTATTGCAATTTGAAATTTTTTTTTACCCCTTCCAATAATAAAAACATAATTTTCTTTTATTTAATTTATCAAACTGAGAAAATCAGTCACTTGTGATTCTTTGTTTAATACACATGTTTCATTTGTTCTTCTCGTCGTATTTAAATTGTGCAATTTGAATATTGGAAGAAAATGTCTATTACACCACTTTGTAAATCAACTGCCTATTTATCAGGTGTCAAGGATGAAGTACGTGATATTAAAAAACAATTAACTTACATTAAAGACGATATTGACAATTTACAATATATAAAATCAACATTATTATTAATTCAATTTAACAAAAGTGAAGACCGTAAATTCATTGAAAATAGTATCAAATTAAATGAAGAGAATCAAAAACAAATGGAAATTAATATTTTATCAGAAATTGAAAATATAAAAAAAAATTTATTACATGAAAAAAATTTACAACTAATGAAAAATACCATATTATCATCGCAATTTGAAAGTAATTTAAAATCTTGTGAAAAATTATATAATAATTTTGAGGAGAAAATTATATCTCAACAGGATATAATAAAAAATTTTATTGATGAACATTCACAAAAAATTATTAATATATCGGATTATATGAAAAATGTTCACACAACACTTGACAATAATGTAATAATGTTAATAAAATTAATTAATGAAAAATATAGTGAAATTGAAAATTATCAACAAAATCAAGAAGAATTACATAAAACATATATCACAAATCTTGAATCACAATTTTATCAAAACACAGAAAATCTTAAACAACAAATTTTTCAACAATTAACAAAAAACGAAACATATGGAAAATCATTGTTTGAATTGATTTCAAATTTAAAAACAAGTACAAATGATAGTTTGAAAAAAATTGAAAATGAATCAATAAATAATTTACATATATTAATTAACAATAAACACATTGATATTAGGGCAGAATTAAAAATTCAATATGAATCATTTCAAAATAAATGTCATTCTCTTGATAAAGAATTTTCGAAAAAATTAAATGAACTCGAAAATAAATTTTCTGATCAACTAATAACAATTAATAATCTTGAAAAAAATCAACAAACATTTAACAAACAAATTGTTAATTTAGAGGAAAAATTGGAAAATATTTTTGAAAAATTTAATGAAAAATTAGAAAATAATGCATCTCTTTTAACAAGATTATTCGATGATAAATATAAAACACTTAAAAATCAACAAGAAAGTATAGAAAATTCATTTTTTAACAACAATAACGAAATGGAAAAAAAATTCATTCAAATAAATGAAGAACTAAAAAATAATTCTCAACAAATTGTCGATAATGACATTAATCAAAAAACCATTATCACTGAACAAATTTCAAATTTAAATAAAGTTTTATCAAAAATAGCCGAAAATCATCAACAAAAGGAAAAATTGTCCTTGGAAATAATCAACAAACTTAAAATAGAAATATCACAGATAAATGAAGATTTCCAAAAATTAAATAAAAGTGAAAATCATTTACACAATGTACTTTCTAGACAGCGAACGGAAATTTGTAGTCTTGAAGAAAATCAAAAGTTAATTGAAAAAAATTTTGAGGAAAAAATGAAAAATAATAATCAACAATTTTTTGAAACACAAGAAAATAATTTAATTATAATAAATAAAAGAATAGACGATAAATGTAGTAAAATATCAAAGGATTGTCAAGAAAAAGAAAAATTTTCTATTGAAAAAATTAGAAATTTTAATGTGAAAATTTTAGAAATCATTGAAAATATCGAAAAATTAGATAAAAATAAAGATCAATTACATGAAGCATTTTTTGAGCAATTTATGAAAATTAAAACTCTTGAAAATAATTTTAAACTTTTTTCCGAAGAAAATTTTAATTTCAAGAAATCAATTGAAAATGAGATGAAAAAATCAAATGTTACGTTGAAACAATAATGTAGGCAGGATCAATGTATATATTGTTTATTTTTCTTAATTATTTAATTAAAATCATATAATTAATATCTATAATTTTGTTTTGTTCTTTAAAATTTTATATTCACCTTTTGTCATCTAAATTCTATACTAAAACTATATTTTTAGATTGAAAATATTAAAAATAAAGAAAGAAGAATGTAAAGAATTAAATATTTTGCTTTAAAAAGTATTTTTGTGTTCGATAAAATAAACAATATAAATTTTACTCTATTTAAAATAAAATTTTTTTTCTGTTTTGTTCTTTTATTTACGTACTGCTCTCGTTTACTGTCATTAAAAAATAAAAACTGATATTTTTTTTTCCTTTCTCTTTTTTTTCAGAATAAAATGGCACTTTATCGATAACTAAATAGCATACCAACGTTAAGGTCTCCTTCTCGTTTTCAAACGATAAAATTTGAAATACGAGCTGAGCAACGAGAGTCTTTCTGTAGGATGTCTGGGTCATAACTTCGTACACCCTGCTGCCTCGAAAAAGTTACTTCAACACTATGAAAGGAATCTTTCGTTGAAAAAAGGCCAAGTGACGCACTTGAATGTTCATTTTTTTTTCTCAACCATTTCATAGAAACTTTTTCAAAAATTTTCAACACAATCTAATAAATATTCGAATAATTTTTGATATAACTAAATTTTATTTCATAAAGAATTTTTAATTATTTTTAATTAATTTTAATTAACTTTAATTTATTTCAATTAACTGTAATTAATTTTTAATTTAATAGAGAAATTATTTTTTGCCCCCCCCCCCAAAAAAATGAATTATTATATGTATTATAAAATAAATAATTTATAATCAAAAGGAAAAATATAAAATTACTGTTAATTATTATATACGGAAAAATAAGATTTACCTAAAACAGGGAAAGGTTTCACTAAAATAGGCAAAAAAAATTTAATTGATTCAATTAAATCTTTTGCTATTTTCAAGTATATAAAATCTTTTCATTTTCCTGCGATGAATTTTTTTTCCCATGTATAAAAAAACGTGGAATCGAATTATGAGAAGAAAAAAAAATGATAAAAATAATATTTTAATTATAATAATAGAGAAGATAATGCGCGAGAAGATTAATTGTAATTTTCCACAAGATTTTTAACGCAAATCTCTTTACCGAACATAATGCATTGCGAAGGATGACACCGTTATCACGAGATCTTTAATTCCAACCGCGAGATTTCTGTTGAGGGGTACTTTCATAGCAGCATCCCAAAACCGCGTCGTCATTTGTCCGTTGCATCGTACTGAGAATCAGTGAATGTGTATGACTCTTATACGGACATTCTCAATGAGAATTGTATACATATATAGGGGGAGAGTGGAATATAATATATATATATATACAAGAGAAAAGGGAAGAGGACGGGCTGGAAATTGCCTTCGCTGATTTCATTTCGTGGTAGATTATTTTAAGGGGACCATAGCTTTTTCCCCGTATGATTAATGCGATTTTTGAGAGGGTGCTCTCTCCGACGAAATACCCGCGAGGCGGATAGCGAATCCAATTTAATTTCTGCGTGCCGCATCGTCCGATAGACACTAACTAACGCAGAGAGCGAGAGAGAGAGAGAGATGCGACCCTTTACGATCCTCTAAAAGCGATCAGACTCTTTATTTCTTTCTTTTTTTGTCTCCATTTTTTGCTCTCTCTCTCTCTCTCTCTCTCTCTCTCTCTCTCTCTCTCTCTCTCTCTCTCTCTCTCTCTCTCTCTCTCTCTCTCTCTCTCTCTCTCTCTCTCTCTCTCTCTCTCTCTCTCTCTCTCTCTCTCTCTCTCTCTCTATTTTTTGTCTCTCTCTCTCTCTCTCTCTCTTTCTTGGTAAATTTAACTTTGACCTCTCACTCTATAAAATCTGTTGCTCAAAATGGTATATAAAATATCGAGTTAAGTTTCGTATTATATATTACATCACTAATCAATCAAAAAATTGTGATTAAATTTACTCCTTCGTTTGAATATCGTTTCATGTGAAAAACATTTTTGCAATAAAATTTCAATTATATTTTTAAAACTGATAATAACATATTTAATCGAAAAATTCAATTCAATATTTCTTGTCTGACTAAAACCTTCTTATACTACTGATAATAATAAAATTAGTGATAACTAAACTTTTTTATACTAATAATAATAAAAAATTTAATGAGAAATTTTTATTTAAATACATTTCGTCTGACTGAAATTGTCTTATACTACTTGGTAAAAAAAATTATCTTTTACTATTCGTTCAGTCTGCTCAAAAATTGTTTTTTCTACTTAAATTAGAAAGTTTTAAAAAGTACTGTATGACTAAAACTGTCTTTTACTACTAATAGATGAAAAAAAAATTAATTTAATCCGTGTTGTCTGAATAAAAACTGCTTTTTACTACTGATAATAACATATTTAATGAAAAAAAATTCAATTTAATCTATCTTGTCTGACTAAAACTTTCTTATACTACTTATAATAACAAATTTATTGGAAAATTTTCATTTATTATGATTTGTCTCACTGAAACTTACTTTTACTACTGATAAAAAATTCAGAAAAAAATTAAATTTATTACATTTTTTTGACTGGAACGTTTTTATACTAACGATAATAGCAAATTTAATGAGAAATTTTAATTTATAACATTTTGTCTGACCGAAACCTTTTTATACTACTGATATTAAGAAATTTGATGTTAAAATTTAATTTTTTTATTTTGTCATCATATTACCGACATTGAAATCTACCTTACCGATTGACGGTAAAGAAATTTTTGATAAATTAAAATGTAAAAAATTACCGACATGGAAATCTAACTTAACGACTGACGGTAAAATAGTTTTTTTTAGAAAATGAAAATATAAAAATTACCGGCATAGAAATCTACCTTGCCGACTGATGGTAAAACAGAATTTCTGAAAAATAAAAAAAATAAAAATTACCAACATAGAAATCGACCATACCGACTGATAGTAAAACAGATTTTTTAAAAATTAAAATATAACAAATTACTGACATGGAAATCTAACTTATCGACTGATAGTAAAACAGTTTTTTTTTGAAAAATGAAAATATAAAAATTACCGGTATAGAAATCTACCTTGCCGACTGATGGTAAAACAGATTTTTTGAAAAATGAAAATATAAAAATTACCGGCATAGGAATCTACCTTACCGACTGATGATAACTACCGACTAATGGTAAAACAGTTTCGAAAAAATTGATAAAAATTTCAGGAAAATTTCTTTACCATCAGTCGACAAGGTAGATTTCTATGTCAGTAATTTTTATATATTTATTTTTTTAAACTGTTTACCATCAGTCGGTAAAGTAGATTACTATGCCGGTAATTTTTTATATTTTCATTTTTCAAAAAATATGTTTTACCATCAGTCGGTAAGGTAGATTCTAATGCCGGTAATTTTTTCTATTTTTATAACTACTGAATCTTAAATTTCAAGTAATTAAATATTGTATAGTTCAATGTTACAATTATACAAGAATTTGTTTACAAAAATATCTTTTTATAGATGATATAAAAAAATTAAATTTTTTAGTTTAACTTACCTGATAGAAAAATATCTATAGTATAAAGGTACCCCTCTTCAAAAAAAAAAAAAAAAAAAAAAAAAACTTTTCTCTATTGAAGAAACTCTATAAATTTTGAACACTAACCCTCCTCCTCCTCCTCCTTCTACCCTTCTTGTTCCCATCATAGGAAGTAGATATTCCATGGCTGGTGCATGTCTGTGACTTTTAAGGAGTTTCAACGTCCCATTATAAAGTCTTCACCGAATATAATAACATCTGACTCCGTGGGCTGGAAGACATTAGGGAAATAGAACTCACCCCCCTCCCCTTTTCAACCTCGTTCCATTTCCCAATATATACGGAAGCCTAATCGGCCAACTTGGAAGAAGCAACGGCTTTACTTTTGCGATTTCGATACATCGAACATTATTGAACGGTCTCGACGTAACGAAATTCCCATTCGATTTGAAACGACATCATTGAAGAATGGAAAGTGAAATAAAGCAAGATTAATGTCTATTTTTTCTCATTTTCTTTTGGTAACAATAAAAATGATTTTTTATTTTTTTGGTATTAATAAAAATGATTTTTTATTTTGTTTTTTTTTGTATATTTTTTTATTTTTCCTCAGTAATAATTGAGACTCTATTCTCTCGTAATATATTATTAGTGTGCTAATAATGATAATATATACAGATGAAAAAACAATAAGAAAAAGAGTGTGTCCCTTACGCAAATTTTTTTTTTTTTTTTTTCTTTTTTTGAGGGAAAAAACAGTTAAATCGCCTTTATACAATTTTTGTTGATGTTGAAATTTTTTTTGTACTTAATTTTACAGAGCAGTAATATACAATCGTCGAATGTCTTTCGCCACTTTTTTTTTTTGTCTTTCAAAATATTTAATTTAGGAAAATGTTCTTTTAATTTGAATAAAAAAATTAAATCGTGACAATTTTTTCTAAAGATTGTAATATGTAAAAAAATATTAAATGTAACATGTTTAATTGAAAATTTTATTGTATTTTATTTTCTTTGGAAAAATTCAATTTATATTATATATTTTCAAATCAACGAGACACTTTTCTTTTATGAGTAAAGAATTTTCTTTTTTCTCATGTGAATGATTTTCATATTCAAAAAAAAATTTTCTTTTATTATTACACAATGTTAAAAATTTATAACGTTTTGGTATCGGTAGCTCTTTCTTTTTTTTTTTTTTTTTGGCTTTCGCATAAAATATATGACTAAAACCCCTCGTTGAAAAAAAGTAATTCAATTTTTTTTCGTAGATTCGCTTAAAATTGAAAAAAATTTAGAAATTTAAATATCGAAGAAATTAAATATTTTCTTTTCTAAATTCACTGCAAATGAAAGAATAGAAATTGAAATAAACATTTAAAAAATGAAAATTAATATTGTACACGACAATTAAATCACATTGATTTTTTTATGAAATATATAATATATATATATGTATATAAATATTTGTTGTGGATATTCTAAAATTACACGAGGTCGAAAGAAACCATCGAGGGGTAAATAATCTTAGGTCATAATCTTTGGTGTTAGCTGTATGGAACTCAGTTCGCGCTTTTGTCTTCTGCTTTATAATAAAAAAGACAACAAAAAAAAAAATACGAATACTATCTAAAAATGAATTCCAATCTGTATTTTTTTTACATTATAACTCAAAAATAATAATTTATTTCAGAAATACTAATTTTCGAGTAAAGTCTCAATTTTTTAACCGAATAAAAAATTTAATTTTATCTACATAACAAAAAAAAAAAAACAAGAGAGAATAAAATTTTTTTAAGAAATTTGAAAAGAATTTAATTTAAAAAAAATTTAAGTTAAAAATTCAAACCAGAATATAAAAAAAAATATTTTATAAAATCAATTTCTTTTTTTTCTTTTTTTCTTTGTGATGAAATAATTAGAGGAAAATTATTTTTTTTATAAACAATAAGGGCTAAAAATTCAAACTTTTCTAATATATATATATATATGTAATAAATGGCACAATTTTTTCGCGCGATCCTTGAGGTAACGAAGGAAAAAAAACAACAATCAATTTGTGAAAATTTAAGAGTAATAAACTCATTTTCCGTATACTCGATACTCTCTCATTCATTCATTCTTTCTTCCTCTCTCTCTCGCTCTCTTAATCTAGTACATTATGTATTTACAAAATTCTCGCACTTCAATTGTTCAACATTTATACTGTTTTTTTTTTCATTATCACTATAGAAATATCTTACACGACTTTTTTTTTAAATCGAATTACCTTCCTTATATTTGAATTACTCCAGCTGCATTGGATTATATATTGTATGTCCGATTTAACACAAGTCCAATCACAGTTATTCTTAACTCGCACAAATGACAAGTTTTTTTTTTTTATGCAATTCATATTTTATCACTTCGATTTTCTGCTTCTTTTCTTTTTTCTCCTTTTTTAATCCATTAAAATTCATTAATTATTGGAAAATCATGATTTTCTTTTTTTTTTTTTTTTGGTATTCGATCTCAAGATTTATCGATCATTAATGAAGGATTAAAAAAGCACTCCATTTTAATGGAAAATTGAAAAATGTTTCGATGATTGTTCCTCGATTTTTTGTTTGTTTGTAATATCTCAAGAAATTCTTGGTGTGAGGAAAGGGGATTTTTTTTTTTAGTATCCGTCGAGGCATCTTAACTTTTTCAAGGGAGGCGGTACCTCGTCTCAGCTTGTTGGTGCTGACATTGACATTGGGGGTGGTTTTACTGTCCCCATTCCTGGGCCTGAGAGTCCATTATTATTCATGTCACCTGGTCCCCTTGGACCCACTCCAATTGCTGTGCCATTTACTGTTGGCGTTCCACCCGAAATTTGTCCCTGAAGACAGAAAAAAAGTCCCTTTTTAAATTTTAATTCTTTATGAAAATTTTGTGCTCATGAAAAAAATTATGTTTTCAAATTTTCATTCAATTATAATGAATTTTAAATTGAAAATTCAAAAATGTCTGACTAAAATTAACTGTTACTACTTAAAATATTTACATTAGAAAATTTTCACACTTTGTCTGACTGAAAATGATATTGACTACTTAAAATTTTAAAAAAATTTCATCCTTTGTCTGACTAAAATTAAGTTTTACTACTTAAAATTTAACCCTTTTAATAAATCTTTTTTTTTATTGACAAAAATAATAAAAGTAAAAAAATATTGTACTCTGTCTGACTAAAAATGAGTTTTACTATTTAAAACATTTAAATTTTCACCCTCTGTTTTTATACAATTGTTTTTACTACCTGAATTATTAAAAATTTTAACTATTTGTCTGACTGTAAATGGCTCTTACTACTAAAAATTTAAAAATTTTTACCCATTGTCTAAGTATCATTATCTTTTACTACTTAAAAGATTAAAATTGCGAAGTTTAAAGACTTTGTCTGACTGAAAATGATCCTTACTATTTAAAATCACGAAATTTCCACCCTTTGTCTGACTAAAATTAACTTTTACTACTTAAAATTTAACCCAAAATTTTAATAAAACTATTTTCACTGACAAAAATAATAATATTAAAAAATTTCAATCCCCTGTCTGACTATAAATGACGTTTACTACTTATAATATTAAAATTACATAATTTTTATCCATTGTCTGACTTAAATTAACTGTTACTACTTAAAATATTAAAATCACCAAATTTCCACCCTGATTTAAGAAAACCTATTTTTACCACCTGCAAAAAATTTTTCTAAATTAAATTAAACCTAATTTTTGAATCAATATATATACGCAACTTACATTAGACAAATGATTTTGTTGTCCCATTTGTTGGCTAAGAACTTGCGTCTGTTGATTTTGATGTTGAAGGGGATTGTGACCATGATGAAAATTTTGTCCCGGACCTGTTGGCATTGGGGGCAGTTGTCTCTTGATATGTTCTAAAGATGAAGGTGGATGCAATGCCATATTGGCAAACACCATTCTTTCACCATAATCATACTCGCAGAGAATTTTATTTTCACATAAATAAAATTTATCGCCCACACAAAACCTGTAACAAAAAAAAAGAAAAAAACTTAAATTTATTTTCTACTTTTATATCTGAATAATATTGTGATCCAATTGCGCGAATTCCGCGACCTACTTTCACGGATATCGTTACCTAATTCCGTAAATTACGTGAACTAATTTCGGAGACCTACTTTCGCGGATATCGTGAACTTATTCCGTGAATTACGTGACCTAATTTCGCGGATATCGTGACCTAATTCCGCGTATTACGTGACCTAGTTTCACGGATATCGTGATCTACTTTCACGGATATCGTTACCTAATTCCGCGAATTACGTGAACTAATTTCGCGAATGCCGCGACCTACTTTCGCGGATATCGTGAACTTATTCCGCGAATTACATGACCTAGTTTCGCGGATATAGTGACCTAATTCCGCGAATTACGCGAACTTTTTTCGCGAATTATGCGACCTATATATTCGCGGATATCGTCAACTAATTTCGCGAATTACGCGACCTACTTTCGCGGATATCCTGATCTAATTTCGCGAATTACGCGATCAACTTTCGCGGATATCGTGAACTTATTCCACGAATTACGTGAACTAATTTCACGAATTTTGCGACAGACTTTCGCGAATTACGTGACCTAGTTTCGCGAATATCGTGGAATTGGCGAAATTAGATTACAAAATTCGCAATTGTTTTAATGTTTCCAATCATCGTCTGACGAAAATTTACTTTTACTACTTAAAATAATAAAATTACTATTATTGCATCATTTGTTTTGAGTAACAATTTTTTTTACTACTTAAATCACAAAAATATTAATGGTAAAAAAAAGAATAAAGGAAAACCTTTAGCTAATTATTTCCACGTTGTAATAATGTGTAATGAAGAGTAAGCATAATAGGAATGAAGATAGCGATAATGGAAACGAATAGGAGTATGCTAGGGAGAGTTGCTAAATAATTATCACCCTTCTGTCCAATGGTTGGAGTACGTATCCGTTGTGATCCTGCCCGGAAATGCGAATGCATACTGACTGGTCTGGTTCGAGGTAGATATTCATAATCAGTTGGCAAATAGAATTATCGCAGTAGTGCGCGAGTACGGCTCTCGTTCCGGGTTGCATTCCCATTATTGCCTTGACAGTGTCGACTGACTCGTTCAAAATTACATACATATATTATATATATATATATATATATATATATATATATATATATTCCACGAATACTGTCGACCCACGATACTAGACTGATTCGAAAATTCAACGCGATTTTCCACTTTAGCGTGTTCAGCAGGTGATTTCGAAAATCGTCCAACTATATATATATATATAGTAACGTCCATATGCATATCACGCAAGATAATATGACATGTTCACATTCAATTTATGTCCTTTTGCGACAATTTTACAATCGGTATAGTTCAATTATTTTATAATGGCAATTCAAATACTTTGAAATTTATCAATGCAAAACAAACAAAAAGATTACTTTATGAAATAATATTTTCATTTTTCTTCTTCTTCTTCTTTTTTTATTATAAAAGTTGAAAAGAAAAAAAATTTATCTTGACAAGATTTATAAAAAGTGCGTTTAAAATATTAAATGTTCAGAAACGACGAAATCGCGAGAGAGTCCTTTCTATTGCATGGAAAATTTCAATCTGGACGCGCTCAGATAACTTGTTTGAATCTTTGATAACAAAGGTCCCTGAACAAATGAAACAACGAATGGAAAACAACGACACACAAAACATGTCGCCACTCACGGTGTAAATAAATAAATAAACTAAAATTTGCGAACCGTCAATGTTGTGACCCCATTAATAGAATCGTTTTACTGACATCTTCATCGCAACGAGAGAGAGAAAGACCATTTTCTGATTCAAATTTTGTCTTTAAAATTATATTTTTTATTTTGAATTCTATTAAATTTAAAAAAAATTTTCAATCAATAATTAAATTTTTAAAATACGAGACCTTTGCGAGCTTTAGCGCTCCGATTATTGTTTATTGTTTATTTTTGTTTATTATTGTTTAACGCTTTGTTCGTAGTAACCGTTGCTAGTCAAAAAATGACCTTAGCAACCGTTTTGAGTCAAAAAATGTCATTAACAACTGTTGTTAGGTAAAAAAAATGTTCGTAGCAACCGTTGCTAGTCAGAATATGTTTTTAGCAACCGTTACTAGGAAAAAAAGTCCTTAGCCAACGTTGCTAGTCAGAAAATGTATTTATCAACCGTTACTAGACAGAAAATGTACTTGGCAACCGTTAATAGTCAGAAAATGTTTCTAGCAACCGTTACTAGTCAGAAAATGTCCTCAGCAACCGTTTTAAGGCAAAAAATGTCATTAGCAACCGTTGTTAGGTAAAGAAAATGTTCGTAGCAACCGTTGCTAGTCAGAATATGATCTTAGCAACCGTTACTAGTCAGAAAATGTCTTTAGCAACCGTTTTAAGGCAAAAAATGTCATTAGCAACCGTTGCTAGTGAGAAAATGTATTTATCAACCGTTACTAGTCAGAAAATGTACTTAGCAACCGTTAATAGTCAGAAAATGTTCGTAGCAACCGTTACTAGTCAGAAAATGTCCTTAGCAACCGTTTTAAGGCAAAAATGTCATTAGCAACCGTTGTTAGGTAAAGAAAATATATTTATCAACCGTTACTAGTCAGAAAATGTACTTAGAAACCATTACTAGTCACGAAATGTACTTAGGAACCGTTCTTAGGTAAAAAAAATATTCATAGCAACCGTCGCTAGTCAGAAATTGGCCTTAGCAACCGTTGTTGGTCAGAAAATGTCTTCAGCAACCGTTACTAGTGAGAAAATGTCCTTAGCAACCGTTTTAAGGCAAAAAATGTCATTAGCAACCGTTGTTAGGTAAAGAAAATGTTCGTAGCAACCGTTGCTAGTCAGAAAATGTTTTTATCAACCGTTACTAGTTAAAAAATGTACTTAGCAACAGTTACTAGTCAGAAAATGTACTTCGAAACCATTACTAGTCAGAAAATGTCCTTAGGAACCGTTGTTAGGTAAAAAAAAAATATTCGTAGCAACCGTTGCTAGTCAGAATATGTTCTTAGCAACCGTTGCTGGTCAGAAAATGTCCTCAGCAACCGTTACGCGTAACACTTTGGTATGACCTTTTTATAATAGAAATTTTTTTTTAAAAAGTAAGAAAATTTGTTTTTAATGTAAAATTTTTGTTTTTGCTGTTAATGCCCTTTTTTAGCCAATCTCGGACAAAGTTTGAGAGTTTGTTAAAGATTATGTATTTTTTATTTTAAGGTTTGAAAGAGAGTAGAGTACAAAAGTTGGGTTCGAAATTGTGCACACACGTAGGTGGCCCCTTGGTAACGCGAGGAGACGACTTAGGACTTGCAATTAAACAGCAACAATTACACGGGGGTAACTTTAGACTGTAATAACATGGAATAAAGGGTTTGCCAGTGGCAGTGTCTGGTTGCAAACCCCCCTCTTGTTACGGGATGATTTACCGATCCAATTAGCTCTTCGCGGGCACACACTCTCTCTCTCTCTCTCTCCTAAAAAGACGTCCGGTCTAATTTAACGGGCATCCAATTAAAGAGTAACCCTGTGATCTGAAAGGAAGCGTCGTCGCGCGGTTTTCTTCTACTGGCTCTCTTGGAATTAAAGTAAAACATCTTTCTATTTATCTTATAAACATTAATTCGCTAGTAGTCGAAAAGTTTCTTTACCTTCTGTGTATAATAAATTTTTCCTTATACATTTTATATTTATATATTTTACATAAATATTATAAATGTTTGAGAGTTTGTAAATTTATTACAAAAAAAAATTAGTTTCAAAATAAATTTATAGAAACGTACAATTTTTCGTACATAAAAATTTTATCCAATTTTTTCAGATTTTGAAATTGATATTGAAAAATATATAAATCGAGAAACTGCCTTTGAAGTTTTTTTTTATTAACTGAGATAAATAAAAAAGAAAAATCAATCTCTTTCGTCTTTTGAGATTTTTCAAAAATTGAAGAATGTCAAAAAATATTGGATTTTTCGTGGGCTGAGAAATTGATGAAACGAGATGTATATATATATACATAGCCAGTGAAGCCTACCCCCTCTGGTAATATACATAACAATTTTATACGTGACACGTATCATGCTCGTAAGCAGCATTGGAAATTTTTGCTCTCTCTCACCCCTTGTAACAATTTCTACATTTTCGAATGAGAGTCAATACTCACACGCATATATCGAAAAAATGTCGAATTTTTCGCGTATAAAAATCGAGAGACTTCATAACTTTGTTTCTTTTCCTTATTTCTTTTTTTTCCATATATATATATATATATATATATATATGCATATAAATACACGAACAAAATCATATGCGTGGAAGTATAACGGCTCCACAAAACGAAAATCTTATTACTTCAAAACGGAGGGTGAATGCCACGTTATTAGAATTTTTCCCCCATCGACAAACAAATTTCTAATAAATTGCATACTCCATCTCTCAATATTGTCAAAACGTTATCACCATGCGTATAGCAATGAAAAATATTTAATCTCTACAATTCTAAAATTAAATATATGAAATAAAAATAGTAATAAATAAAAAAAAATAATAAAAAGTACAGAAATTCGCTAACCTGGCTCTGACCTGGTTGAAACAGGGAACCGAGGCCAAACCAGACCCCCAGGTCGGACCCCGGTTTAAATCGATTTTAATTGGGCTGAAATAGGGCTTTTTTTGGCTTTCAAAATTTTTGCACGGGTGATAGCTAAATAAAATTAAAAATATTTATTCTAATAAAAAAACAAATAAATTCTAAATTAATTTGATTTTACAAAAAAAAGTTTCACTTTCACGCGTAATCAGAGATAAAAAAAAATTCAATGAAATCTCTAATCTTAAAAACACACTGTTTTTTTTTTTAATCAGGTTTCACGCGGGACGGTCACATCGAATGCGTTTAAAAAAAAAAGGAGAGCAAATAGAAAAAGGAAGTGAGACAACGGTGGTTGAAAACGTAAAATACCAAAAATACAAAGCCAGTAAAGCACAACAATGCTAGCTTATTGGCTGACACAGGGATGAGAGAAAAGAGAGAGAGAATGAGGCGACGACACTGTGGAATGAAGGGTGGTCAGAATGAGTTAGGGGGGGAGAGGGGAAAAAAGAGAGAGGGGGAGATAGATAGATAGAAGTGAACCAGAAGCAGGGTGTAGTTTCAAGCCAATAGTAATGGCTCGTCCAGGCGTGCAACAAACGTTGTACAGCTCCTCAAACAAAGCGAACAAAAGAGCATCAATTTTACGTTTTTATCGTTTGGTATTGTCTATCTTTGACAATACCGCATGTCTCTCTCTCTCTCTCTCTCTCTCTCCGATTTCTCTTCACTTCCTCTTTTTTTTTACCTCTCTTCCTCTCTCGAACCAAAAAAAACCCCTTTTCTGTAATTCGTTTCGTTTAGTTACACACAGATCTCTAGAAAATTTCAGATTTCCTGTTTGCCTTCTTGTGTGCGATATGTCCGCGTTTGACTCTTTTCTAAGCCAGCGATTCGTGGATAATTGCTTGGAAAACAAAAGAAAGATTTATTTTTTATTCAATTTGAGAAAAAAAATTTTCACGAATTATATAGGTTTTTCTTGTTTAATTATTAATATTTTTTATATTAAATTACCTATGGAACCAGTTGCTATCAAAGTAACAACTATATTTGCTTCCAATTGGTATTTACTTTCAGCTGGTACTTACTTACAGTATTTATTTATTTACTGTTAGTATTAGTGTTCATTTAGTTTTCGCGTATAAGTAATTTTACTTCCAATTAGTTGTTGCTTTCATTGGCTTTTGTATCCAATTGGTAATTGTGTACAATTGCTTTCTGTTTACTGTTGGTATCAATTTTCACTTCGTTTTTGCTTCTAAATAGTTTTCACTAATGTGATGACTATAAATTAGTATTTAAATACAGTAGGTATTTGCTTCCAATTGGTATTTATTTTCAATTGATACTTGCTTACACTTGTATTATAATTACTTTTAATATTTGGCTTTAAATTAGCTTTGTTTATTAATTGTTTTACTTCAAATTTCTAATTAATTTCAATTGGTAGGTGCTTCCAATTGGTATTTATTTTCAATTGGTACTTGCTTCCATTAGTATTATAATTACTTTTAATATTTGTCTTTAAATTAGCTTTGTTTATTAATTGTTTTACTTCCAATTTATAATTAATTTCAATTGGTAGGTGCTTCCAATTGGTACTTGCTTCCACTAGTATTATAATTATTTTTAATATTTGTCTTTAAATTAGCTTTGTTTATTAATTCTTTTACTTTCAATTTGTAATTGCTTTCAATTAGTGGTTGCTTCCAATTGGTATTTATTTTCAGTTGGTATTTGCTTCCACTTATGTTATAATTACTTTTAATATTTGTCTTTAAATTAGCTTTGTTTATTAATTGTTTTACTTTCAATTTGTAATTGCTTTCAATTGGTCGTTGCTTCCAATTGGTGGATGCTTCCAATTGGTTTTTATTTTCAATTTGTACTTGCTTCCACTAGTATTATAATTACTTTTAATATTTGTCTTTAAATTAGCTTTGTTTATTAATTCTTTTACTTTCAATTTGTAATTGCTTTCAATTAGTGGTTGCTTCTAATTGGTGGGTGCTTCCAATTGGTATTTGCTTCCACTTGTATTAAAATTACTTTTAATATTTATCTTTAAATTAGCTTTGTTTATTTATTGTTTTACTTCCAATTTGTAATTGCTCTCAATTGGTGGTTGCTTCCAATTGGTAGGTGCTTCCAATTGGTATTTATTTTCAGTTGGTATTTGCTTCCACTTATATTATAATTACTTTTAATATTAGTTTTTAAATTAGCTTCGTTTATTAATTGTTTTACTTCCAATTTATAATTGCTTGCAATTAGTGGTTGCTTCCAATTGGTATTTACTTCCAATTGGATTTTACCGTTAATTGTTATTTACTTTACATAAAATATTTGTAATTACTTTTTATTTACAACTTAAATTTGTTTAAAATTATTAAGTTGCTGCCAATTGGTATTTACTTCCATTTTATTTAATTTTTTTTTTTTGTTAAGTTAATTATTTCTCATATTTTTTGTCTTATTGACAATTGTTAATTGTTTGTAAATAAATTAATATAGACAAATTAGGTATTGAATGGGGAAAAAAAGAGGAGAAATATAAAATTCTCTCGATAGAGAGTGTGGAATAAAATTAAGAATTTGAAGAGGGCATAAAACAGTTGAAGAGAGATGAGAAATTTTTCACGGTTCACTCACGAAATGCGCGTATGTTGTTATATCAATCTCTTTTTATGAATCGTGTGACTTTATATATATAGACGATCTCGATTGAAAAGTCCATCTCTAGTATATCGTCAATCTTGTTGTGAAATACCGTGTGTATGATACAAAATAGTCCATAGATACATTGGCGTGCTGATGCAAGTTTTGTATAGAGACATATCCCCCTTGGTATAGAAGAAGAAGAAGAAGCAAAAGCACCTCTCTCGTATTCCATTTTCTTGTGTATATGCGTTTTAGAGAGAAAAGGAGAAAACAAGAGAGAAAGAGAGAGAGAGAGAGAGAGAGAGAGAGAGAGAGAGAGAGAGAGAGAGAGAGAGAGAGAGAGAGAGAGAGAGAGAGAGAGAGGAGAAAAAGAGAGTCTCACACGAAGCGGAAGTCGCGCGCGTGTTATATAGGTGGAAAACCGGTCGCGAGACACAGTCCACTCGAGGGGTTGCTTTACAGGCCAGTTGGGAAATCACCCTCCTAACTCCCTTCTTCCTCGTCCTCGTGAAATAAGCCCTCATTCCTCTATATACATATATAGATATATAAATGGATGGACCACCCACTTTTTCTCCCACAGATGGCCAGTTATATAATTATCTAGATACTGCTGACATTTTTGTATCAAATTGTTCGCTTCGAGCGAGATTGCTTACTGTTGAAGGAAATGCCTTCAACCCCCTCCAAATTCCATTCCATCTGCTCTTGACTCTCACAATTTATTCTCTGAATATACTTTTAGATTCAAATCGCCTTCCTTTCGGCAAATTACGATATATTGAAAAAAAAAAATTATTTTCCACTTAAGAATATTTGTTATTATTAATAAAACATTTATGTAAATAACTTCCTTTTTTTAGAATTTAGAAGATTATTATTTTTTTGCAATATTTTAATTTAATTAATTCCATTATTCTTGATTCACCTGCTTTACCTGAAAAGCTAAACTACACTTTAGGGAATTTTATCAACTGCTTCTCTTGATTAGACCTAAATATCTGAGGGCTATAAAAATGAACGACCATATATATATATATATATATATATATATGTATATTGGCTCAAAGAATTCATTATAATGTGGTCGTTTTTATACTTTATCGAAAGAAAAAAAAACGTGCGAGGATAATCGAAGATCAAGAAAGTTAGAGAGGGCTATAAATTGTTATAACTATAACTGTAAATTCCTAAATCATAAGTAAATTTTTATATATATATATATTGTAATGATAGTTAGAAATCGGCCGGTAAATATTTATACTAAATATTATCGTGAGTCGATAAACATGTTACCGACCGCAGAGCACAGCAATATAGTACCCGATTTCGCCGCGCGGGCCGCATCGCCAAAAGCTCTCTCGCGTACGCTCAGCTCACCGAACGGCTATATAAGCAGCGCTCTCGCTGAGGACCGTCACTCTCGTGCTACACGGAGTTCAAGAAGGTCTTACCCGCCTGACTAGGGGTTTTACCCCTAAGGAGCCATACTTTCGGAGTTTTACTTCGAATAACTTTCGTAGAGAGTTTTACTCTCGTTCGACGAGTTTTACCCGTTGAACATTTTATCGGTTTTTAATGTATATAGTGCAAAGTAACGTAACAAAAGTATAGTAAAGAATTGTAAAGTAACGTAACAAAATGTATGGTAACATAATATTGTATTCACTTAGTTTAAAGTAGATTTTCCGTTTTATTACCATTTTTAATCTCCGTTTTTAGATATACTTAGAGTTTTACTCTTTGTATAATTGGAACACGAGTTTTACTCGTGGTTCACCAGTGCATCGCGAATTTTTAGGCAGTATAGTAACAGATTTTACGGCTCATCACAGCGAGTTGAAGCCGATTTCGTTAATGCGCGGCTCAAATAAGCGACCTTCCAGATTGATGCCGATTTTCGATTCCGCGGCTCAACATATTTTGGATAGACGCCGACAAATCGTTACTCAAAACTGACTTCCGCAATTTACTTGTTAATTTTTGTCACCTGTAAATACCGTTGTAAATAAAAAAATTTGTTTCAGTTGGTAATTAACCCATTGTTATTAATTTTTTTATGAATCAAAACGAACCCTGACTCGGCGTGTTAAATATTGATTCTACAATTACGAACGTTACAATATTTTCAAATAGTTTTCAAGACTCACCGTTGATAACACTGTTGACATGCGAAACACTCCAAATGATAAACATTCGTTCTCGCTCGCATCACCATCTCAAAAGCTGGTATTGGTTTGTTGCATGCCGAACAATGGCCCGTACTTCCAAATAACCTCAAATAGTCCCTTTTGCAAAGAATTAAATCGGCTTTCGTGTATAATGTCGAGCCAACCTCTCCCAATCGACAATCGCAACAGCCACATTTTAAACAATCCTCATGCCAAAAACGATCCAGTGCTTTTAGCAGATACCTGTGTTTAAAAAAAAAAAAATTACACATTTATCTTATCTCAATCTCAAAAAATATTATTTATTTTCTCACTAATTTTAAGTCACTTTATACTAAAACTTTAGTCAAAAAATTAAGAAGTAAAATAGTAATATTTTACTAAAAAATTAGTATTATTTTAGTTATAATTTAGCAACAAGGGAAATTAAGCATTAAAAATTGTGTAGTACTAAATAAGTACTATTATTAATTTAGCCCTATTAGGTACATTATTACTAGGAGAAATTGAGAATTATTTAATATTTAGTACTAAATCTCTAAATTCCAAAAAAAAATCAATTTTTCTTAGACTGACAATTTCATTGCAAATTCTGGCACAAAATACACCCAAAAGTGTAAAAAAAAAATTGACAGCCCAATACAAGTAGGGGAACACCCCTATTAACACCCTTAAATTAATTAATAAATAAATATATTAATAATCAAAACGAAATAAATTACTAAACGTTTTGCATTCTACTATTATTATTATTATCATTGCTCCCTCCCCCTTCTTCTATATAATCGTGGAATAAAAAACAGTCACGCAATTGTTTTTAGTAAAATTACATTTTAAAATATAATTGTATAAAATGTATTATTCATTAAATGAATGGTTGGGGGGAAAAAAAGTGCCTACCTTTCTGTGATTGTTTTTCCACAGCCGGCGCACTCGTGCTGAGTGGAACCATTTTTGTTAGTCTCCGACTTGCTCACATCCATAGTCATCGTGATCTGAGCTATTTCGTCCCCTAGAAAACAAGAAAAAACCAAATGAAATTAACTTATTTTGTGAATGAATTTCATTAAATTTCCATTTAACGAATCTTTTCTTTCGCTCTCTTTTTTTTTCTTAACTTTGAATTAAATTTTTTTTCTATTTCTTTTTTTTAGGAAAAAATTGTACCAAAGTAAAAAGTGCTTTTAATTTTCAATTCCATTCAATTGCGCAGGTTTATTCTTAAATTTATAGTTTTTTTTTTTTTTGGTATAATTTATCGGGGAATAATTTTTGACTTAATAAAACAATTAAAAAAAGTACTAATTAAAAATAATTAAGTTTATTTTTTTTTTGCTATTAAATTCTTTTATATTGGTTTTTAGATTAAAATAAATACGATAAAGAAATAAATTAGGTAATTAGTAAAAGATTTCATTGGAAAAAAAAAAATTATTTTTTTTCTGATTACGTCATATTGGCCATGGCTTTTTGTTAATTAATGACCGGACATAGTAAACCGCACACTAATCGACTGTGTCAGTTACAGGAAAGAATCTCGTAATTTCACGTTAAATCTCGACGGCTCGTTTCCGGCTTCGATAATAATTAGAAACTTAACCAGTAAATCAAATGGAATCGTCCAAAAGACATTTTAAGAAAGACACAAACGAGAGTCGGAATGGGTATAAAAAAAAAGTTAGAAGCAACTTTAAAAACACACAAAAGATGGAGTTAATGTGAAACAAAGATAAATCGAAAGTACCAAATACTGGAAAATTTTTTTTTTTTTTTTTACTTGGCAACCAAATCAATTTCCTTATAAATACACATTTAACTTTAATTAATTTCAAAAACAAAATTTTTAATAAAATCAAATGTTAAATATATATATATATATATATATATATTGATGAGAATATAAATGATGATTGATATAAGATGTTTTTTTTATACTTTCACTATTATTATTATTATTATTTTCTTTTTTTTTGCAGAATCTTATTATTAAGTTGCAGCACAGCAGTGAAGCGGAATGTTAAAATTAATGGATCGTCGTGGGCGAATAAATTACTACCCCGATATCCTGAGCTTAATTTAAACTTTATCGCAGTCTTTTCGAGAAAACGAAATTAAATGTATGCCTATCTCTTGGTATTTCGCCTTGAAATCAAACGGAAAACTTGACGCTTAATTAGTTTACAGAGCGTTATCTCTAACAGAGAGAGAGTATATGTATGCACTTTGAATTTTGTTTGTGTGAAACTTTTATGTATATATATATATATATTTTTTTTTTGCTTCACTAATTGGTCCATTCGCATAGAAAGCAATTGCAGGAGTAAAAAAAATTTTTAACGCCCAAAAATTTCACTTATTTCGTATTCACATTTAATGTTAAAAAAAAGATATTTTTTTAATTATTTACTACAAAAATTAAAAATTATTACGAACAAAGGCGGAAAAAAGCATTTTTGCAAATAAAACACGAAAAAAAATACAACTAAAACTGAAACATTATTAATAAATACACAAATACATGTAATGTGAAATTTTTGGGTTTTTTTTAGAAAATCGAGTGTGGAAAAAAATTTAGGGTGGTAGGAAACGTTCGGAATATGATATTTGTTAACTTAAGTTGACACTGAGTAACAAAAAAAATAGTAACAATTTTCATTGCTATAAAAAATGCCCAACAGCGTGGGGTAAATGTGAAATTTTTAGATTTTTTTTAGAAAATCGAGTGTAGAAAAAAATTTAGGGTGGTAGCAAACGATCGGAATATGATATTTGTTAACTTAAGTTGACAATAAGTAACAAAAAAAATAGTAACAATTTTTATAGCCATAATAAATGCCCAGCAGCGTGGGGTAAATGTGAAATTTTTAAATTTTTTTAGAAAATCGAGTGTAGAAAAAATTTAGAGTGGTAGGAAAATTTCGGAATACGATATTTATCAACTTTAGTTGACACTGAGTAACAAAAAAAATAGTAACAATTTTCATTGCTATAAAAAATGCCCAACAGCGTGGGGTAAATGTGAAATTTTTAGATTTTTTTTAGAAAATCGAGTGTAGAAAAAAATTTAGGGTGGTAACAAACGATCGGAATATGATATTTGTTAACTTAAGTTGACAATAAGTAACAAAAAAAATAGTAACAATTTTTATAGCCATAATAAATGCCCAGCAGCGTGGGGTAAATGTGAAATTTTTAGATTTTTTTTAGGAAATCGAGTGTAGAAAAAAATTCAGGGTGGTAGGAAACGATCGGAATATGATATTTGTTAACTTAAGTTGACAATAAGTAACAAAAAAAATAGTAACAATTTTTATAGCCATAATAAATGCCCAGCAGCGTGGGGTAAATGTTAAATTTTTAAATTTTTTTAGAAAATCGAGTATAGAAAAAATTTAGAGTGGTAGGAAAATTTCGGAATACGATATTTATCAACTTTAGTTGACACTGAGTAAAAAAAAAAATAGTAACAATTTTTATTGCTATAAAAAATTCCCAACAGCGTGGGGTAAATGTGAAATTTTTAGATTTTTTTTAGAAAATCGAGTGTAGAAAAAAATTTAGGGTGGTAGGAAACGATCGGAATATGATATTTGTTAACTTAAGTTGACACTGAGTAACAAAAAAAATAGTAACAATTTTCATTGCTATAAAAAATGCGCAGCAGCGTGGGGTAAATGTGAAATTTTTAGATTTTTTTAGAAAATCGAGTGTAGAAAAAATTTAGAGTGGTAGGAAAATTTCGGAATACGATATTTGTTAACTTAAGTTGACACTGAGTAACAAAAAAAAATAGTACCAATTTTCATTGCTATAAAAAATGCCCAGCAGCGTGGGGTAAATGTGAAATTTTTAGATTTTTTTTAGGAAATCGAGTGTAGAAAAAAATTTAGGGTGGTAGGAAACGATCGGAATATGATATTTGTTAACTTAAGTTGACACTGAGTAACAAAAAAAATAGTAACAATTTTCATTGCTATAAAAAATGCGCAGCAGCGTGGGGTAAATGTGAAATTTTTAGATTTTTTTTAGGAAATCGAGTGTAGAAAAAAATTCAGGGTGGTAGGAAACGATCGGAATATGATATTTGTTAACTTAAGTTGACAATAAGTAACAAAAAAAATAGTAACAATTTTTATAGCCATAATAAATGCCCAGCAGCGTGGGGTAAATGTTAAATTTTTAAATTTTTTTAGAAAATCGAGTATAGAAAAAATTTAGAGTGGTAGGAAAATTTCGGAATACGATATTTATCAACTTTAGTTGACACTGAGTAAAAAAAAAAATAGTAACAATTTTTATTGCTATAAAAAATTCCCAACAGCGTGGGGTAAATGTGAAATTTTTAGATTTTTTTTAGAAAATCGAGTGTAGAAAAAAATTTAGGGTGGTAGGAAACGATCGGAATATGATATTTGTTAACTTAAGTTGACACTGAGTAACAAAAAAAATAGTAACAATTTTCATTGCTATAAAAAATGCGCAGCAGCGTGGGGTAAATGTGAAATTTTTAGATTTTTTTAGAAAATCGAGTGTAGAAAAAATTTAGAGTGGTAGGAAAATTTCGGAATACGATATTTGTTAACTTAAGTTGACACTGAGTAACAAAAAAAAATAGTACCAATTTTCATTGCTATAAAAAATGCCCAGCAGCGTGGGGTAAATGTGAAATTTTTAGATTTTTTTTAGGAAATCGAGTGTAGAAAAAAATTTAGGGTGGTAGGAAACGATCGGAATATGATATTTGTTAACTTAAGTTGACACTGAGTAACAAAAAAAATAGTAACAATTTTCATTGCTATAAAAAATGCGCAGCAGCGTGGGGTAAATGTGAAATTTTTAGATTTTTTTTAGGAAATCGAGTGTAGAAAAAAATTTAGGGTGGTAGGAAACGATCGGAATATGATATTTGTTAACTTAAGTTGACAATAAGTAACAAATAAAAGTAGTAACAATTTTTATAGCTATAAAAAATGGCCAACATCGTACGATAAATCTGAATTTTTGAGTTATCTTTTAGAAAATTGAGTGTAAAAAAATTTGTTAATTTTTTTTAGTCTTAAAACAAAAATCGACTTTTTGATTAATAAACTCTTTTACAACAATAAAAACAATAGTGATAACAATAAAAACAAGAGGGAGAAAGATAGGGGGGAGGGTGAGACTAACTGCATTCATGGCAAAGACGCTTTCTGGGGGATGAATATATAAGGTAGATTCTCTATTCTTTGGCAAAGGGGAGGAGGGACAAGTGCAGTGAAAGGTAGAGGGATTGCAGGGAAAGAGGAAAGTAGACCGCGCTGAGGCACGGGAGCTTAATTAATTAGCCGGATACTTTGAGTAACAATCCATTATTGCATACAAACATCCCCTTGGCCCCCAGAGCCAAGCTGCAGCTTTATGCTGCTAATTGGCCTTCTCAGAGTCGGGAGACCCGCGCGAGTTATAAACGCCCCCCACCCCTCCCCCTTTCTATTTCTCCCTCTCTTTCCTCTTCCTCGCTCTATTTCTCTCTTTTTTTTCTCTCTCTATTTTTCTCTTCCTCTCACTTTCTTTTCCTACTTACCCCCTCTTTATCTATCTCTCTCATTCTCTCCCTCTTTTTTTTTATCATTCCCCTTTCACTTCATCACTTGCTCTTCTGAATTTTATCTTATATATTCGTCTTGTATCCCTTATTCTATGTTTTTCGAACACTGTAGAACATGAAAAAAAAAACATAGAGGACAAATGAAGCTAATAATGCGCGTAAAAAAGGGGGTTACAAAAAAAAAAAATAGAATTCTCCCAAGTCCTTATGTGACTTGCGACAGGTATTTTTTTTTTTTTTTTTACATGGGATTCAGTTCGTTAATTGGAGAGCAAATTAAATAGACGAAGCAAAAGAAGAAAAAAAAATTTCTTCTTTATATTATGAAAGAAAAAACTTTTACCCTTTTTTTCGTTTTTATTATGCCCTATTGAATGTAATTCAATACCCTAAACATGAATTATTATTTAATATGTAACATTTAA